TATACCTCATTAACTCGTTCATCAATTTGACGAAAAACGTCAGAGAATTGGTCCAGCAGCAATCCATAACTTTCTTGGCTGACCTCAACCAAATATTCGACGAACTGTTGGATCATTTCACTTGTACTTCCAGACGAGACGAAGCATTTGAGTTGATCATAACCAGGGACGTTGGAGCAAACAGAGACACTCAAGGGGATATGTTCGGCTTCCCACGTTAACTTTGCTGTATTTCGTGGATGTTCGGCTTCACGTTTGAAATAACACTCAAAGTCAAAGGTGGCACGATAAGGGAAGTAATTTAGATCGTCAGGGATCTCGATTCCTTCGTCGGCCAACAAATCGAATATGGTTTGTGGAACTCTGTAGGCACCACCAGGGAAGATGTGACGTATAGTTGCTTCGCATGTTCGCTCGTGTTGGTTCAAGGCCTTTGCCGTCTTCCACATCTTGTCACATTTGCAACAACAGTAGGACTTGGAATACATCGTCAAATTCTTAATGTAGCTGAAGTGACTACCGTAGAGGTTCAGATACATCGAATTGGTATATCTACTATGGGAGCGCTGTATCAGTTGAGCCACAATGGAGGTCTTGTCTTCGTCCTCGCCGTGTAGCTCTGTAAGGCGATAAACGTAAATGTTTAACTCGAATAACTTTTCCAGTTCAGGCAGTTCCTCTAGAGTAACACCGTCAAAATCATCATCTTCCGAATATTGTTCATAAAAATGTTGAGTATCACGTTCTAGGTTATGGGGATGACAACCACGGTGTAGGGCCAAACAACGGAAGAAACAAAGTTTGTCTTCGTATGGTAGTCCCGTTTGCTCATTACAGTCGAGCGACACGATGGCACGGCTCTCCAGTACGTACTTGGGTAGGCGGACACTGCGGCCTATGGGATGGTCTCGAAGTTTAGTGACGTAGAAGGTAACGTTGGTAATATCCATGACAATCCATTTCGAGTTGGTCCGTTAATTGTTGTTTGGCCCATTCATGAATGTCGATGTTTTGCATCGTTTCGCGAACTTGGGCTAAATCTTCACGATTATGGATCTGGAACGGGGAGTCAAAGACACGGTTGTTGTTTGCTGAGGGGTGGTGATATTGCATCTGTTGTGTCTCGTTATTAAATAATACGAAACCAAAGGAGAGATTTAACTTAAAGACAGTGGTTTGAACTTCGAATATCCGGTCTATATCGGCAACAAGTTGACCCATATTTACTGAGCTTAGGCGATAGTTGTACCAATCCTGAATCCGATTGCCTCGACTTTGCCGCGTACGGATAGCACGCCAATGATCTCGGTGGAGTTGGGAAGGAAGGTTAGATGGGGGTAATAGGGGATCTTGAGGGAATGGTTGGGGTCCTATAGAAATAACACCCGATTCTTTATTTTTGTCTAGAGCTCCGCACTAATTTGTCATACAAACACCCGATTCATAAAAAATCGAAATAAGTCTAACATGAATAAATTAGGAACATGCAATTTCACATAGCAAAATGATAAACCCACGCAACAAAAATTACTTTTACCTCACTATAAAACGCTAGCGAATGTTACAAAAATGACGTAGCGTAAATACTCGTACAATGACATAAATTAATAGTTCTAAATCAAATGAACATAAGTCTAACATGAATAATTAGGAACATTCCACACTATAAACCCACGCTTAAAAATTACTCGATTATGTTTATCAGGTTTTCAAAACACAAACATTAGTGAAACAACATGAAAATATTTTTCAAATGTAAACGTTAGGATTTCAGGCAATGTTTTAAAACCGAGTAATTAACATTGTCAATATACACATCAAATCACGACAATCAATATACTATGTGCGGTATAAAAATTTGAATTTCATACCTTCGCTGACGATAGTAGAAGCTCCTGAAAAGGAGAAAAATGTATTAGTGTGATTTTAACTCAAATTATTACACAGCATATATACTCTCTTACCTTCGTTAACGCTGAAGATGATGGCGGTTCTTAAAAGAGAAAAATATCTGTGTATAAATACAAAATCAGTAATCGAAATATTTTCATTTATACATACCTGGTTCAGCAGTTCTTTGCCTTTTCGTTCGCCTGGTCGGCGTCTTAGTACGTCTACCACCACCAGTCTGATGGACTTCGCGCTGATGGGCTTGAAATGGGAATATGTTTCGAAACACTTAACCACATACATTACACGTATATTCCCGTTCCGCGCCACGTCGCTCGTGCAATATCATATGTCGGTTTAAAACATCCTTGAAATCAAATAAATAGATATTATTAACTCAAAATACTTTACTACGTTTTGAAATATATCCCTGTAAATTACATACCTTTCGATTAAAAGTTTTATGGCAACGCGAACACTCGTGGTCTTTGTCACTGTGAGTTTTCATATGCCGGTTCAAAGCATCTTTGAAATCATATAAATAGATATTATTAACTCAAAATACTTTACTAAGTTTCGAAATATATCCCTGTAAATTACGTACCTTTCGATTAAACGTTTTATGGCAACGCGCACACTCGTGGTCTTTGTCACTGTGAGTTTTCATATGCCGGTTCAAAGCATCCTTGAAATCATATAAATAGATATTATTAACTCAAAATACTTTACTAAGTTTTGAAATATATCCCTTTAAATTACGTACCTTTCGATTAAACGTCTTATGGCAACGCGAACACTCGTGGTCTTTGTCACTGTGAGTTTTCATATGCCGGTTCAGTTCGTTCGAACGCGTAAATACCTGACCACAATCATCACAACACAACCTTGGTTCTCTCGGAGTTGATTCATCGTTTTGCCAGTTCCATTCCGCAAGAATTTGCTCTTGCGTCTCTGGTGACCAGGACTCAAACATTTCATCTGTATCAATGGCACAAAGCTGGCGATTGACCTCTTCATTTTCCAGTTCGCTCATAAATCGAGCTCTCCTATAAAATATAGAAGTTGATTACATAAACAAAACTCTTGATATTATATTAATTTTAAGTTTAAATTAAACTTACTCAATATTTTCTCGATGTTGCTGTGCCATTCTCTTCCAAGTAGTTTTCTCCGAATTTAAGTTTCACCAAAAGACCTCCAGTAGGAGCGTTGTCAAATGCAGAACTATGCTTGTTACAAGACGCTTGTCGATTTTATACAGACGCTCGTTAAATCAAGCAACCAATCGTAGTAAGCCAACATTAATCCTTCCATTGTATCATACACGTGGAGAGACGTTAAAAAATGCGTAGTCAGCAAGTTTTGCCCGATCTTGTTTAAACCTGCCCGCGTGACGTCATTGCATATAATTATGACGTATGTTAATGATGATGCGCCGCCCCACACCGTTACTTTTTATCTCATTAATGCTGGTTTTAGGTGGCGCCACAAGTAGGGTTAGCCATATAAAAGGATCCCTTGGTGCAAAAATAAAACCAGTTGGTTAATGTTTAAAAAGTTTTCATATATTTTGTTATTTCAAAGAGTATCTAGAGAAGAGTATCTATCCAGTGGTTTTCAAGCAATATCTGCAAAAATTCAAGATGGCGACATCTCATTACTTTAATTAAGTCAAAATATTTCAAGAACTAAGCAAGATATAAAAAAAAGGTAAAAGAGTTTAACATATAATTTTGAAAGTTCTTTCAAATGCGAAAATCTAATTTTATATTGCCATATCCCTTTAAGAATAAAGTAATACAATGTATGCTTAAGCTAAATTACTGTCCCTTCTACGCCTGAACGGGATTTGTATTTACACTTCTCGTTTTGACACACTTTAGATGCATTCTCCCATGTACTTAGCATGCATATAAGCTAAAATGTTACATGATGAATTAGTCTTCAATTTTGCAAAAAATCTTTTTTTTGAGACAAGCAATGAAATATTTTCGTGAATCAAATGTATGACTTTCCCTTTGCTTGCCTCGTTCAGTAACTCTTATAGGTGAAACCGAAATTGCAAAAAGTGTGTACACATTTCCTTATGTATTTTTTCCCTGCTACTCTGAGTGCAGTTCACACAGGGGAAGCTGAAAAACCGGGGTGGGATTCGAGCTGTTTTTCAGCTTGCGCGGTGTGGACTGCAGTTACTGCACTAAGAGTAGCAGGGAAAAAATACTTATAACACCTGAGTACAAAATGCACCACCACAATCAGAGTACATTTCCTTACGTTTTTGAGACATGCGTAGAAGGGAATAAAATGTAATCGACTTGTAACTTCAAGTTCACTGTCGGTGAACATCGCTTTGCAGTTCAGCAACGAAAGACGAGTATTTAATGGATCGCTGTGTGGTGTCTGATACATCTAACGCGAAATCCTGGATGAAGAAGAGGATACCTGACATTTGATAAGGGTAATTTATGTGGAAAACGTAATAGCTTGAAATGACGTCGACTAAAGCTTCCAACAGGTCCGTGCTGCTTTCGAAAAACGCCTGATCTTCGCCTGAAACGAAGGTTTGAAGAACGTCGTCTGGTGCGCCGAGTACCACCAGTTTAAACTGGACCGTCTTGTCTTCAAACAAATTCTTGGGCTTACTCGATGGCTATAGTGAAGAGAAAACATAATGGTAGAGTTTAAGGAAAAACTTTTTGCATACACTGCCCTTACAAACGTGTATAGAAACTATCTCTAACTCAGCTACCATGCAAGTGTAATTTGAATATACTTACATCGTTGAACTTAATTAGTGATCCCCATTTTTTCATTGTTTTCGTTTCAATGAATGAAACAGCGTCAGCAACACCTTTATTCGCCAGTTCATCCTTCCGTAGAACTTTTTTAATACCTTTTCTCAATCTTTCCACAGACTTCTTAAATGCAAAACCTGGGAGAACTTTTTTCATTTCTTTACGCACCTATAAAAAGGATATACGCGACTTTACACAAGTGATTATTGAATATTTTGCCCATGAGGCGATTACTACGCAATTTTTGTCAGAAATGGCAGCAAGCAACCTCGTACCCAGGGCTTATGTGCTTGGTCGCTCTCGTAAGCCTCGAGATAATCAACCTCGTACCCAGGGCTTATGTGCTTGGTCGCTCTCGTACGCCATGAGGTAATCAACCTCGTACCCAGGGCTTATGTGCTTGGTCGCTCTCATAAGCCCTGGGATAATCCATGGCGATAAAGCAACGTTTTGCCAATGCCACCTTAATGGCGGCTAAGAGATGTGCCAGCTCGGCCTTAACACTAATTACACAGAAACTGAACCAGAAGCTGTTCTTATTCTCCCTTACAAATCATACAACTAATTGGAAAACCAATGTCCTTTTGAATTATCAAATTATAATAAATCTACACCAAAAATATATCTAAGTCTGAGAAAGAAGTGTTTATTAAAACTTTCAGCTTCAAGAAAGAACAATCCACCACTTCAGCGGTAAAACGCACGTGTAAATTCCAAGGGTGTCACGTGGTACAAAATGTAAACATTGCGGACATTCGCTCTGTTGTGTAATAGGAGTTAATATGGCGCTCACTATCGTTCGTGATTTGAATTGCAAATTTATATTGTAATTATTGTATATTTCGGTGTTGTTATACTACAAATATAAAGAAAAATGTCTAAAGATTCTATATCAGATATTAACGGCGTTGTAGTTCCTAAAAATCAATTGCTTTGAAACGACGGCGGTCCATAGTATAAATTTTAATGATTATAGCGATTTAATATGGTTGCGACGAAGAGATGCGCTTGGGGAACATTTAAAAACGATTTTCGCTACCCACATTCGATGGCTAAGTATAAGAATGGCCATCCTGTATATTTCTATCGCTTCCCAGCACCAAAAAGATCACAAGAGAAGCGGTCGCGTTGGATAACAGCCTGTCATCGAGGCGATAACTTTACTTGTTCTATAAAGGACAGCTATATTTGCAGTTTTGGTAATTTTGTGGGACACTTGGCTAAACGTCACCGAGTCCCACCAAAGATAAAATTGTACACAATGATGAATGTGAGTCTTCCACAAAGGAAAATGCAACACAGGTAATTATCTCAAATTTACCATATTAAATTGCAGAATAGAGTATATTTCTCATCACATTGCATAATGTAGTTTTCTATAGGGCTAAGATTGGTAAAGTGTGAGTATTTTTAAGTACCTTGTTGGTAAATTATGAAAGGTAGTCAAACAGACAAAATTCTATTTTAGATAAAATTCTGTTTGAAAAGTGGAGGAGGCGGGTGGCTCTCCCCCTGTCTCCAGAATTTACACTATACCCCTCTTTATAACAGTAACCAAAAATCAATCTTTTCCCATATACATAGCCATCAAAATCTTAGAATTAAGCACTTTGTCTCTGACAATGGAATATCGCCTGTTTTATATTTGCGTTCTTTTATTACTAGACTTTACCAGTAATTTCTGCAAATGATATTGTATTACACCAACCAATTTGCTACAAAACCCAAAAATGGTTCACCCAAATCTGTTTATGCGACTAGTGGAAAATAAGGATAAAACTTATCATTATACAGGTAATATATATATATATATATATATATATATATATATATATATATATATATATATATATATATATATATATATATATATATATATATATATATATGTGCGCATGTGGCAATGGTTTGATGTCCCACATTCGTGAGACATCAAAGGTAACTATTTATAATGGTTACTTTCATCCTGCTCATCAGCACTACACTGATGAGGCCCAAAAGGCCGAAACGGTACCGTCTGTAGTTAGATACTGCTCTATGGCCTTTGTGTCATATTGAGCACTCTACAGGATGACACAGGACAAAAAAATAGATTTGCTCCAACTTTGCAACCCCCTGCAAAGGTGCCATTGCCGTAATCGCATCAAATTTGCTATTGTGCAAATTTTGTTCAAATTTGGAAAGCAAATTGGTAAATAAATTTTTACCCTCATATTGGTAAATAAAATTCTCTTTTTTGAGAATGAATGGGCATAGGATAAATTTGGCTCAAATTACCTTTCATTTGCACAAGTGAATTTGTGGGTATTTTCGTCCTTTAATTTGGTTTCTAAATTTGCCAAAATATTTGCAACCTTGCAAATTTGATGCGATTACGGCAATGGCACCTTTGCACCGGGTTGCAAAGCCTAGTGCAAATCTGCTTTTTCGCCCTGTGTGAGCCATTGTTGCTTACGCATTGTGCGCATGCTCACTGCTTGCTGTTTGAGCACTCTGGCAATGGTTTGATGTCCCACATTCGTGAGACATCAAAGGTAACTATTTATAGTGGTTACTTCCATCCTGCTCATCAGCACTTCACTGATGAGGCCCAAAAGGCCGAAACGGTACCGTCTGTAGTTATATATATATATATATATATATATATATATATATATATATATATATATATATATATATATATATATATATATATATATATATATATATATATATATATATATATATATATATATATGTATGTATGTATATATATGTATGTATATATATATATATATATATATATATATATATATATATATATATATATATATATATATATATATATATATATATATATATATATACAAAAAAAAAATTCAACAATATACAAAAAAAAATTCAATAATTATCCTGAATGCCCCAGTTATCCTATATATATTTTATTTTTTTTACCTGTATAATGATAAGCTTTATCCTTATTTTCCAGTAGTCACATTATCACATAAACAGATTTCGGCAAAGCATTTTTGGGTTTTGTAGCATTTTGTTGGTGTATAATACAATATCATTTGCAGAAATTAAAGTCTAGTAATAAAAGAAGAACGCAAATATAAAACAGGCTATATTCCTATAATGTCCATTGTCACATACAAATTACTTGATTCTAATATAAGATTTTGATGGCTATATATATGAGAAGAGATTGATTTTTGGTTACTGTTATAAAGCGGGGTTGTGTAAATTCTGGGGATAGCCACCACCCTCCTCCACTTTTCAAACAGAATTTTGTCTAAAATAGAATTTTGTTACCTTTCATAACTTACCAACAAGGTACTTAAAAATACTCACACTTTACCAATCTTAGCCCTATAGA